GCTCTGCAGGTGTGTGCACACCTCTGCACATTCATCATGCGCCCAGTGCAACAACTCATTCTTAATGCAAATAGGAGTAATCATAATTCTAGCTTGGTTTAGCAAAAGAAAAAAAAAAATTAAAATTCTAAGTGAGCCATACTTCTTCAGTCTGAGTGAATGGCACATTCTTGCCCACTGTTCTCCCTGAAATTATCCCAGAATAGCCAGGAAAAAGGAAGGTACACTCACACTTTGGCAGAACAACTCACAGTTTTCTACAGTTCACTTTAAGGCTTTGAATTTAACACAGTAACAAATCTCCGGTGTGCTGATTGCTACAGGGAAGTAACTCCCGAAATACAGAAGCTGCATTTGTCAACCGAGCAGTCTGAGCCCTCCAGATTTTAAAATCCAAGCAGTTCTAACTTTCACTGAGCCAAAGCCAAGTAAGTGCCAGACCTGAAGGACTGTAACTGCAGCGTCCTGTGCAGTTTCAGGATGACCTCATAGGGATTGTTCCTTTTTAAAGGAAAGCAAACCTTCAAAGCAGGGATTGCTGCTGACCAGCAGAGCAAGGGGCTGGCTCTGAGCAGAGTGGAAACAGGAAGGGGAGGAGGTGGCAAAGGTAAGCTTTCCAGAAAAGGCAAGATCAGGCATGGCTTGCTATCTTTTCTCCCCCTGGGAAGGCTCTACCATGCCAGGGAAGTATTGTGCAATGACACCTCAGACTTCACTGAGAAGAAATTACATTTCCTTTAATAAACACTGTGCTTTAGAGATGCTCTGATTACTAAGGCAAGGTCTGTTTGTTGCTGAAGGCCTCAGAATTTAAGAACATATCCGCTGCTCAGGTCTGTATCACCACACTTCCAACATTTCTTTGGTAGGCAAAAAGGAGCAGTAATTATATTTGAAATAAATTGTTTACCTAGATAGTTGAAGAGTGCATCCAAAGGAAATTACAGCAAAAACAAGCCCTATGTCAATCTGACATGTGCTGCCTGTGCAGCAATAGAGCACACAAACAATGAAACGTGCACTCTTACAGCTTTAGGAGATTTGACCACTAAAATAAATGTGAAGAATAAGCTCTCTGTCTTCACCCAGTGGGAAACAGACACTGTTACTCAGAAGGATTTGACCGTAGTTTGGATGATTTGGTCAAAAACTCAGCTGCTGATTTGCTCTTTGTTGCATCATCCCACCCCCCCACCACACAAAAAAAAAAAAAAAAAAAAAAAAAAAAAAAAAAAAACCAAAAAAAAAAACACCTCCTCATTCCTACAGCAGCATGGACTGAAACAAGGATGAGAGGTGTGAGCTGAAGCTTCCACTGGTCCTGGACAGCAGCAAGATGGGTAGGACCAAAAAAAGGAGCAAACAGTCGGAAATCCCTGAAGTTCAACTAACAAGGATATGACAATAGGCAATCTCAGCACAGACGCATTTCCACTTCTCCCTGTGGAAACCTCACTCCCACTGGCACAGACATTCTGCCGGGGAAAACAGAGAGGTTGGCAGGCAAGCCCTGCCCAGCTCAGGGTGCACTGCAGGGAGGGTCTCCACAGCTCCATGCAAGCAGGCCTGGATGGTCTGAGCACACATCACACACCAAATTAGCCTGGGGTTCTTCGAGGACATGGAAACAGAGCTGCCAGCATGACCATGGGAAATGCTGCCAAACAGATCCATTTCCTTCCAAGGTTAAATCTTGCCTGTTGCCTGCCTAATCTCTTGGGACCAAGAGCTGCAGGGCTAATACTGTCCCTTCTACATGTTATTCTCTCAGAGAAGAGTTATTGAGCACTAGCAGAGTAAGCAACCTGATACCCATTCAGGTCCACTAGTTCTGAACAAGGCAAAAAATAAACAAACAAAAATAAAACAAAACAAAAGAACCAACCACAAGGCTAAAAAAAAAGCCTGCCACCTGGGAGAGAACTACCTGCACAACCCTGAACACCAGGGCTTCCCCTGCTCTGTAGAAAGAAACCATCTCCATCCTACCTTCCAGCAGCACTGGGATGTTTTACCCACAACCCAGACACAAATCCCATTAAATTCAGGCTGCAGCACCCACAGCACACACTGAGATGTTGTCACACAGCAGAAAGGATGCAACACAGCTCCCTGAGCAGGCAGGCAACACATGCATTCCACAGGTTCCTTAAAACTCAACATGTACATACCCAGCAGCTGGGAGTCAACCTCACAGCAACTGTGTGAGATCTGCACAGTTCATGTTTCCTTCCCTTCCAACTAGATGATGATAAATGTTAAACTTGGGAGTCCAGCACCTCTTCAACTGAAAAGAAAGGAAACTAATCCACATCTGAGCTCAGGGATAATGTTAAGGAAGGAATCCATCCTTGAGTTTTAAGTATTTCTACTGAAATGTGTCATATACAGGCGACAGGCTGGTGGTTGCAGGAACAACAATTAATAGAGCTGTCATGTCAGGCCACAATTAATGCTGGAAACTCTGAGAAAGATGCATGGTCTCCACGGGGTGCAAAAGCCTCCAGAGATAGCTATGGAAGAAAGGCAGCAACCACAAGGGAAGAATCTTATCAAAAGACTGGTCTGCTGGATAAAAGCTGTAGAGTGACAGATAAAGAAATGTCAGGATCTTCAGCTCACAGCCAGTCCTGCTTAGCAGGCACATCCCCAGCAACACGGGGTTCACACAACACACGCTCTGCTCAACTTCTTCCTGGACACACTGAATGGAAGAGGAAAACAAGCTGGTGATCCTGGCCGTGTTGCCCATCTCAGGCCTTCAGCACTAACCAGGCTGTGTTTGCACTGCAGAGAGATCCAACACACTGAAGGGAATCAAACCTTTACTAATTATATCTGAGCATGAGGGCTCTGTGCCCAGAATAAACTGTCCTATCATGCCACACTCAACAGACCCTGCCTCTTTCAAGGGAACATGTTGGGACTTGCTGGCTACTTTCCGGGGCTGGATTCCAGAGGAACAGGACTGATGACCCCAAAAGGAATTCCTATTCCTGCCTGGCGACCTCGTGCAGCTGCAGCCCCGTCGCAGTCCCTGCCACGAAAGTGAAACGAGCTGTCTGCCAAGTCCAGTGACGAGGTGCTGGCCCTCTCTGAGGGACATAATTCCTGCCTGAGGTGACACATCAGGGCCACACAATCTCAGTATCAAGACACAGAGAGGACAAGCTTGTTGGAGAAGAGGTTTTGGCTGTGCTCTGCAGGCCAGCAGCACTCTCCACATTCAAAGTTCATCCCCCCGGCTGAAGCCTACCCAGCACAGAGCAAGACATTCCCAAGACCAGGGCCAACCCATGGCTTTCCCCAGAACCTGAAAAGCCAGTTTGTAGGCAGATCTCTTGCAAGTGGATTGCTTAAAAAAAAAAAAAAAAAAAAAAAAAAAGGGCTGTCATGGGAAGTCCCAGAGCAGAACTAGTTTTGTGGGAGTTGCTTTTACGCTGCACAGCATCAACCTCCTTTCATGGGAACACACAGAAGCAGGAACAGCACGGACACACGTCCACATGCCAGAGCTGCTGCCTTCCTGGGGGCTCAGGACCAATGAGCACAGAGGCCAGGACAAAGCTGGGGACCTGTTCCAACTGTACAGCACCTCCTGGAAAGCTGGCAGTATCCCAGCTCAGAAATGTCACAGGCTCCCAAGAGCACAGGGGAGACCTGGGCTAAACAGCAGCAGCAGCCATGAGGATTTAGGGACATGAAGGAGGCAGTAGGAGGGAGAGATGATAGCTGTTATTAGAGCAACTGAGGGTTAAAAAAAAAAAAAAAAGCAGACAAGCCCTTTCATAAAGTCCATTTAACAATCAAAGCTTAAAGGAAGTATCTAATGTTCACCTCTTTCTTCCAACTATATCAACCAATCTAACACAAGTCATCACCTCCTCCTGCAAACCTGCACCACTGAGATGGAACAGCTGGAGAGCAACATCCTTCATACACTGGAGTGGAAATGCAATTCTTCCAATGATCTGCTCCCCAGCTTGTCCCAAGTGGGCCGTTTTTATCCCCGTGGTCACAGCCCACAGGCAGCTATTTGTCCTTGCTGCCCTATCAGCGTTACTGCAGTTAACACCCAGTGCTCCTTCCTTGTCCCACGCTTCATTCAGAAGCTTTGCTGCCTTGTCCCTTCCCGTTACGTGTGACTATTTTTTCCCTTTACTGCAGAATGCACTTTTCTTCCCAGAGGAAATTAGCAGGCAAGGGGACAAAAACAGGAAGAAAGGAAACAACTTCCTGCTTGCTCCAAGACCCGGCTTGGAGACATCTCTGAGCGGCACCGTGCACCCCGCCACGAAGCCAACCTGCAAGAGAAGCAGCAGCCACAGAACCGAGTCGGGCACAGGAGAGCACCAGATAAAACTCATCTGTGCTGCCACTCACCTCTTCTGAGTTACACTGGAGAAAACACAGGGCAAAATGTACCCATGGGGCACTTTGGCACTGCAGGGATATGTGTGGCAGGATGGGGCTGCTCGCTGAGGAGCCCAAAAGGACTCGGCACGGAGGGTGCAATCCTGCAAAGCTTTGGTCTTGCTCGCGTCAGGCTGCCGTGATTCCCTTGCTTCGTGCCAGCCGTGCACAGTGTGAGAACTCAGTTCAGGGACTCGATCCGGCAGAAAAACTAACCTTAACATGTAAAAAGCCATCTATTTTCCACCAGATCATCTCCGAAAGTTGCTGCCAAAGCGCGGGTGCCAGCATCAGGGGAGGGACGGGTGGGAAAGCGTGATGGGGTGGACTCGGATGAGCCGAAACAAGCCGTGAAGGCGCACCTCCACCTACAGCCGAAAGCACTGAGATCGCCAAGCTCCCAACATCCAAACACGGGGGTCGGGGGCAGCACCTGCCTCCGGCGAGGCTCTTACCCCGCGGGCCGCCGCGGGCCGCTCCCCGCCCGGCTGAGCGGCGCGGTCCCGGTACCTCGGCGGGGCAGGGAACGGCCCCGCGGGATGCCCCTCCCGGCCAGCCCGCCCTCGTCCCCCCGGCCCCGCACTCACCGTGCAGGCGGGCGAAGCGCAGCGGCCGCTCGGCTCGAGCCGCCCCCCAGTGCGGCTTAAGGGACCGGCGCCGCCGAGCTCGGCCCGCGGAGGGCGCGGAGACTCCTCCCCCGTGCCAGGGGCCGGCCGGGCGGGCACGCCATTCACAGCCTCGGCATGCAAATAGGAGCCGGGAGCCGAGCGGCGCTCGGCGCTGAGAGTCCCGGCGGGGAGCTGCCAGCGCCCGGGGCCGCGGGACGCCGCATCCCGCCGCGCCGCCCTGACTCACGGGGTAGGAATGCGCCGCGCCGGGCGGAAGCCACCGGCCCGCCCGCGGCCCCCGCAGCCCCCGCCTTCCCCGCTGCCTCGGCGGTGGGCAGCGCCCTTTAGCCCCGCCGCTGGGTTGGGGTGGCGGGGTTGAGCGCCGGCTCCCGTTAGCATCGGCCCTGCGGGTGTTGGGAACGCTGCCGTGCCCGCGGGGAGCTGCGGCGATTCCCGTGCCGGGAGTCCCCTTGGCTGGGCACCGCTGAGCTGCCAAGCCCTGGCCCCTCTGCCCCCCACGGGAGCCTTCCCACTAAGCCTCCCGCGCACTGGGCTGTGATGCTCCCGGTCCCCTCACTCTTTCTGTCTGTTTCACTGTACTTTACCTTCTCCTCGCCCATTCCCCTACGCTTAGTGCCGTGTTTCCCACCAAGTCTTCACACCTCCTCTTCCAGCCATGTGGTTAGCGTATCATCCCTCCTCTAAGCTGTTTCTTTCCTCACAGTTTAAACATTTTTCCCTTCTGGAGGGCATCCTCCCACCTCGATTGCTCAGCCATCCTCTCCTTTGTCCTGGGATTGCTGCAGAAAATTTCTCCATCCATCCTCTGAGGAGCATCAGTCAGCATGTATTGCTCACGCAGAGCATTGCTGGAGATCCAGCGAGGCCTGCAGGGTGCACATCCCTCTTGAGCAGGTCCCCAACCCACAGCTCCAGATGCTTTCAATGTTAGTAATAACTGGGGGGATGATGTTCCTTTCCCATCTCACTGCATCTTCCCCGCCAACCTGCGTTGCTCCAGCCGAGCTGAGCTCATCGGTACCGCACCCAGCCCTGCGCGTGCCCACGGCAGCCACACGTCGAAGGCAGCCCCCAGAGAGCCCTGCTAACAATATCATGTCTCGTTAGCTAATGAGCAAACGCAGAGCAGCCCCAGCTAGCCCTGGCTGAGGTGGAGACCAAATCGCATGCAGAACCCTGAGTGTCCGCAAAGCTTAACAGGCACAAATTATTTTCAGATGTTTCTACCACATAAACAAGGAAAAGAAGCATCCAGTAATGCACTCGCAGGGCCCTTCAGCATCTCCCGTGAGGAACGCTCTGGAGCTGGAGGAGGAATCTGACCCACCCCTGCTCGTTCTTTGCCTCCTGCCAATAGTATGTGCATTTTGCAAGAAAAGCAAAGCTCTGTCACTGAAACGTGACTTCTTGCTCCTGTAGAAAGCTCTTGCAGACAGCGCTGCTAACCCCATCCCACAAATTCCTGTTCCCCAGTGCTTCCCTACCCAGCTCCCAAACTCTTTTACCCAAGCTTCAGGAATCTGCAGAGCTGGATAAAATCTATCCTGTTGGTAAAGCATACACCTACCTTGCTGCCATCACCAGCCAGAGTGGTTCTCCTTCAGCCTAAAATAGATAGAATAAGGTGACTTAAAGCCAGGTTCGGACTGCTCAAGCACGAGATGGTGAATGGCAGCAGTTCAGTGTTGAGCACCCACCATTCCTGGCCTGGAGCAGCTCATCTAGCCCATAAACCTTGTTTGTTTTCTCCCTCTTCAGGGAATACTTCTATTTGAAATGTGGACCAGCTGAAGGAGAGCTCTTTCCTGGTGCTTGTTATGTTTAAGGTGAACATGTGATTACATGAATTTGTTTAATTCTTCTCTGCTGGAAACTGGAATTTCCTCCCTACTTGAAACCCATGAGAAACTGTGATCTTGCCACAAGACGTGGTTAAAGACCCAATGAAATAGATATCCATCAGCATGTGAATGCAGCACTTTCACTGCTGCAGCTTGCTAAAACTGCTTCAAGGCCTGGTGAGACACACACCTGCCTGCTTCCAGCCAGGCACTGCTGGGTCTGCACCAGCCAGGAGTGTGCACAATGGCCCTCAGGTACTGAACAGAATTGTTCAACACCTCATCTCCTGCTGCATCCCCTCCTGCTTGCACATTTGTATGCAACACTCCTTGGAGCACTGATCCTGTGTCATCAAGTGTTAAATTGTGGCTCCACTGAATATGGATTATAATCCAAGCAGGTGGTGTTACAGCCTGTGTGCCTTGCCTGACAGTTTTGTGAGGACAGCTAGGACACACCAGGAGCACAGAGGTCTGTTTTTATCAGGATCACCAGTTTCCTAGAGAGATGATTCCATTCCAGCCTGCTTTGTTCAGTGTTTGGGCCAAGAAGGCATCCCACTACCTGGCAAGCACAGTAGAGAGCATCAGATTGCAGCCTTGACCAGTAAAAACAGAGCTCCCCTTGCCCTCTGGAAATACATGGGCTTTGCAGTGCCTCCTGTGCTGACATGAAGCAACAGCACAGCCCTGGCAGCTGTCCTAGCAAACAGGGAAGAGGTCCAGAAAGGCCTGGGATTTCTTCTGGGGAGGATTAATAACACAGAAACCCAAGTGAAGTCCCACGGATTTTCAAACGCAGGTGGCCTGGCCAGGAGCCAGAGAGGGAACTGCCAGGAGGGAAAGGACGGGGATTCCCTTTGGGAAATGCCTTCCCAGGGTGGATGGCTGGACCTGCAGCCCCTTGCTGGGGAGCAAACCAGGCTCCTGGGTGCCAGTAGCTGATCAGCTTTTCACCCCCAGCTGCACGTGTGTGTGGGATCCTGCGGACAGGAGAAGTGGGAATGGTACAGCAGGATCTGTTCACCAGACCTGCTACAGAATTATCTCCCCCTGTTCCTCACTAACCTGCAGCTCCTGGTGTGCAGCTGGCCCAGCTTTCTGCCCCAGGGAGAGCAGTGAGGGCTGCTCTGAGCACCCAGCCTCAGCAGTGCCCTTCCTCACACACCGTGGGAGTGTTGGTGCAAAATGCTTGGACTGCAGATGTCCCCCAGAATGGATGCCAAACTGGGAATGGTGCTGCTGACCTGCAAAAAAAAAAAAAAATTACTTTTTTGGAGTGCAAACCTTTCACTTCCCAAGAAAAACCCCAAAGAACCAAACAACTTCTATTAACAAGCAGCTATGTCGCAACTTCAATTTCCTATAACCCACTCAATTTACATGAAGTTCAGAAACCTCAAACTGGGTGGAAGGTCTTTGGAAGCCTCTGTCACCCTCAGGCAGCAGCAGACAGTGCAGACATTGTGTGGGATCACACCTGTGGCAAGGAGGGACACAGAGGTGACTTTGGCCTGGCAGTTCCATGCACCTGCTCAGGTGCTGGATGTGCCAGGGGCTGAGCTGGCAGCAGGTCTGCAGGGATTGGGGGTTTAAGCCCATGGAAGAGGTTCAAAAATAAAGCCAAGCCCCATCATCCTTGCCTACAGCTTATTCAGCCCAAATCAGGACAGATAAATCCCCTCACAGACATCATCAACGAGTCCACCGGGGGCTGGGGAACAGCAGAAAAGCAGGAAGAGGAGCCAAAATGTTGATCTGGGAAGATGGTGGTACCCCAGACCACTCAGCCACAGGAGCTGCTGCCCAGCAGAGCACAAGGAAATCACATCAAAACTCAGTCCCTTCATTTTCTGCCCAGATTAATTGCAATTGATCATTCCTGGCTCTAGCCACAGGGAATGTGTGTGCTTGCAGTGCCAAGAGGAGGTGGAGGAGTGGAAATGACATACAACTAGGATTTCATGGCTAGCCCATAAAGAAATATTTATTTCCAATTGTATTTTACCCAGAAAATCCACTCAGATCAAAATGGCAATTTTCATTTCGGTGAAGTCATTGAGGGAATTGGCAAAAAAAAAAAAAAAAAAAAAAAAAAAAAAAAAAAAAAAAAGGAAAAAAAAGCATGCGAAAAAAAAAAAAAAAAAAAAAAAAAAAAAAAAAAAAAGGGGAAAAAAAAGCATGTGTAAAGCAAGCTATGGTTTCCAAAATATTTAGAAAATGTCACTTAGCAAAATAGCTTCTTTCTCCCCAGTTTACTTCAACACAAAAAAGTGCTTTTAACGTACATATATGTGTGTGTTTCATATGGAAGGAATAAAAATGTCAAGGAAGAAGTAAGATAAAACTCACAAAATATCTCTTATGTAGTCTGAAAGACTCTTATCATTTTCCAATCCACTCTTGGCAAGAGATGAAATAATATTTCTTCAGAATTTCAAAACTGGGCAGATTTATTTCCAAGAGGCACACAAGGACTCTTATAAAGCAGTGAAATACAGAGAGCAGTGGCCAAGGGTGTGATCAAACCTTCACTGTTGGAATGCAGGCCTGGGAGAGCCTGAATCCAAATTGCACAAATTACCTTTTAGTTGTTGATCTGTAATTCTGGATCGCCTGGGTTTTGAGCAGGGACTTTCATTTAAATGTCCAGGTTCTACTTAACAGGGGAGGGGTGCCAGAAGGAAAAAATGAGCCCCAAGGAATGTGAGCTGGATGTCATGGTGCCATTTGGGGTCTTTGTGTCCTACCCCCAGGGCTGGGTATCAGCTACTGGTGTCACATTTGATACCAGTACTAAGAGTCGCTCCTGTTGACGAAGAGAAGCACGAGAGGTAGGAACATGCACATCAGCCTGCAGGTGCCAAAGAATCCCCAAAAATACTGTGAGACATTGTCAGGTGGAGCAGCAAGGTTTGGTAGCCTGCAGCCAGTAAGGTCATCCTCCAGGTTAGCCCAGGTGGCTCCTAACCTGCTGCAGTGGACAAGCCTTGAAGGAGAGCATTCAAAATTAGCAATAAGAGTGGTCCAGTTCAGACAGAACACTGCAGAAAGGACTTCAACTTGGCATTAGGCACAGTGAAGCTCACCATCTCCTAAATTCCTGTATTAATTAAAAGGGAATTGAATTGAAAAAAAAAAAATCAAAATTTCCAGTTCAGTTATTCGTAAATGAGCTGAAGGAGTTTATAAATGAGCTGAGGAATTTTGGTTTGTCTGTCAGCAATAAGCTACTTTTTGAAGAAAGAGCAGAGATATGCTATCTTGATGTAAAAATATGAACTCAGTAATTGGAGAAAAAATAATTCAGTTACTGACAGCAAGCTTGTAAAGAACTTGCTCAGCTAAAATAACAGGGCTTTG